TAGATAAATAACAATCACTATATATATATATGTCTTTTGGTTATTATTATTATTTTCAATCTATAGAATTACTAAAGCTCAAAGTACACAATCAAATCATATATGATGAGAAGAAAAAAAAAGGAATTTTTCATAGAAAAAAAAATGTTGAAAATAGTAAGCAACCTATGGATGAATTCTGTTATTGGTTTTTTTTTCAAGCAAATAATTGAAGAATAATAGATATTGATCATCTATGATTTAAGTAGAAATATCAATTTCTAAAACTTATATAATTGAACAAACATTCTTAAATATCTAATCGATTTTTACTTGAAATTATTATCATTCGATCGATCTTGATAAACAAAGAACAAATCTGTTCTAATTTCAGTTTTCTCTTTTTTGTTTTTTGTCGATTGACGAGCATTTTACTCGAGTTTTGTTCTATGACACATTATTATTAAGAATCTTAATGATCAAGTTTCGAGTTGAATTTTTGCCTGTAGATAAACTTTATAGTCACTATAAACTTCTTAACATTTGAGCCAAAATAAATATATTTTTGCGATAATGCTCACGTTTTACAGAAACCTATTATTTGAGGTTTGTTTCAAAACAACAACATTTTAATGATAAGTTTATTTCTAAATAGGAATTTTCTTGTGGCTATAAGATCTATTTATGGAAATATTTTCAGCGCAAAATTGAATCATTCAATTTTTCAACGATCATATATCGTCATAAGAAATAAATCGAATAAAAGATTCATCATTCAACAAATCAAGATGAAAAAAGAAAATTAAAATAAGTTTTTTCACTACTGATCAAGAACGATTATATGACCATTGTTTAAAATAAATAGTGATTTTCTATTTATGAACGTTCTCTCGTTCAATGTATTAAGTAGTTTAATGAGAAAAAAAAAAAAAAAAAACAAAAAACAAAATCCGATCAGATTTATTTGAAATGACGAAATATAATTTCATATATTTAGAGTAAATAGAACAAACGATAAAAAATAAAAATACTTCCGTCAAATTAAAAAAAGAAATCTTTTTTGTTTTATTCTCTTTTATGAAATAAAGAATCTTACCAAGATAATTAGTTTGAAATATTTAAAACTTGTTTATATGTTTCTCAAATGGAAAAATAAAAATAATAAAAAAATAGTAAAATGTATTCATATGGATTTATTATTCTTCAAAATGATGACATTTCAATTTTATTATGAATACGAAAGAAAAGTTTTATCAATCAAATATTCAGAATAAATAATAAGGATATTCTAGACGATCAAAACAATATGCAACAATATGCAACAATAGAACAAAAACAAAAACAAAAACAAAAATGATTACTTCTTGATCGAAAAAGAAAACAGAAAATAGAAAATAGAAAATATGAAACAATTGACTAAAGAAAATCTCGTCAAAAAACTAATCATAGATAAATGGATAAAACAGTTAATAGACAAACTCTCGATGAATTCGGAACTTTTTGAACTGATCTCGATTTCAGTTAGGTTTAGAGACCTGCGGAGTCAAACTTTTTTGACTCCGACTCCGACTCCGACTCCGAAATTTTTTTTCCAACTGACTCCGACTCCGACTCCGAAATTTTTTTTCT